ACAAGTTTTTACAGTTGCTCCATTCAGTTCTGGAGCCTCCAGTGCCTTACTTGGTCACAGTGAGCAGTCTTTGGAATTGGAATAAGACTTTTTACAAAGCACAAGCAGTCATATGTTGTTCAACTTTTCAGATACAGTATGGAAGCTAATGTGCGTCCAAACTCAGCTTCATAGATGCAGATTATTGACACCGAAGCTTTTCTCGCTGGTGTCCTTCTTTTTTATTTCTTAGCTTAGTTTACTGACTGTTTAATAAGACATGCAATCGGTTAAGCTAATAGTGAATTTTAAGAGTGATCACTGCTGGACCACAGGGGTCGTTACCGTTTGAATAACAAATGTAACCCTCCCTTTGTCTGCAGGTACGAAGACCTCTCTGTACTTCAAACGATCTTCAACTACATTGTCACATCGGATGTCCATTACTAAAATAAAATTCTAACTGACAATTTCTAATCAAAATTTGGGGAACAACATGTATATATTCTAATTTCTTTAATATGTCTTCTGTTTTCATCTTCTTTGCTGTGTTTAACTGGGCTGGTCGAAAAGTGCTGAAGGAAAATTAAGGGAGAATTCAAAACAGGTATCACTAGTGTTGACTCCACCCCCGCCTTACCCCGTCTTCTTTCCTGGGTTTAAACAGCAGGGAGGATGCACATTAATAGAGGGAGAAGGAGAGAGATCAGCAAATCTTTCCACCAGCTGCAGGACCATCACAGAATTCATCTACCTCATCCTCCAACAAACCTCCACGGGGTAAGATAATCTGCAAGCTCCAATGGCAATGACCAAATGTAGATGACCAAGGACAGCGTCAGCATGACGGCTGCAACAACTATCTTCTCAATTGATTCATTTTCAAATTTTCATTTGATTTATTAAAATGTCAGAAAAGATAATATTCAATACAATTTCCTAAAGCCCAAGGTGCTGTGTTCACAGAGGTGGTTTTGTCCCTACAGTTTGAAGACAAAACTCATATTCAATATACAATGCAAGAAAAGTGACATGTTCTCACGTTTTAAAAGCTGAAACCAGAGAATGTTTGAAATTTTAAATTTAAATTGCAGGTGACAATCAAATGTATAGATTAATCATCTGACTGTGTGAGCTCCATTCAGCATGACTTCAAAAAAGTGATGATGGACTTCAAACTATGTTATTTTAATATTCAATACAGCACAGCACAATGAGTCTACATCAGGGTTACAAATATAAAAGGAGGTGGCCTTTAAGTTACAAAAGGCTATACTATAATACTTTTTACACATAAGATATGAATTTCTTTTAATGTACTGAAAGTCACAGTAAGAGCGAATTCTCATAAGTGAAATTAATTAATCATATTTTTTTGTTGAAATATTTGGATTATAGGGTTATTTGAAGACTTAAATAGTAGTGGTTACTGTAAGCTGGAAATCTTTTGTTTTGACTGCCAGCCATTTAAAGACGTCACCCTGGAAAATGTGAGAGACACTTTTCACATTTTATAAACCAAATGATTAATGGACAAAATAATTTTTTAATTGATAATGAAATCGTAATCATAAAATCAGTCAGAAATGGTTATAGACAATAAAATGAGCTCAGATGTGATGTCGTTTTCCAGTTGCAATATTCAAAGATTCAGTATGTAACTTTTAGTGGCATCTAGCGGTGAGAGTAATGAATTGCAACCAAATGCTCAGTCACTGCTCACCCCTCCCTTTCCAAACTCTGTCGACTCTTGAGCTAATACGTGTGGTGCTCAACTTGTCCAAATTTCACTTCTCTTGTTACTAATAATAAACCAGACTACTATTGTTTGTACGTACGTATTCAACATAGTGACGAAACGCGCTCTGTAGAGCAGTTTATTCATTTGGGCTACTGTAGAAACATGGTGGCACAATATGGTGACTCCCGTGTTAGAGGACCTGTGCATTCTAAGAAATAAAAAACATTACGGTTCATTATGTAAGGTCTTTATACACCACTGAAAACTAGTTATGGATATTATATTGCATTTCTGACAATAGATCCTCCAAATTATTTCACACTGGATCTTCAGTCTGCTGCTGTAGCTAGTAATAAAAATAATAAAAACAGAGAACATTTAGAAACATGACCCATCACATACATACATGGAAACAGCAAAAGTCATGAAAGTCCAAAATGTGAATGAACCCTGTCACTGGACTGAGCTTCATTTTCCACTTCCCAGGAACAGTGTTAAACTTTCAAAGTGGCTCTGACTTTGTTTCCAACTGTCTCTCTCTCCAGCTGATTGGGCTCCTCCAACATGCTCCGCCCCTGCTCTACCTGTCCGCTCTCATCAGGCTTGCAGGTAACCACACACATGGCAGCCATTTTGAAACACTGCTAATAAGACGTGTTGAGGAACTTCAGAAGAACTAACAAAACAAAGTATTATTTTCCTGATATATCTTTGTTTCTAAGAAGAAGCAGTGACGATGTTAAATTAAAAATCTTGATTGGTTGGTAAACAAAACCTGTTTTATTCCTTCATGAAGTCAACTTTTGAATGTGCACCCTTCCCTGTTGTACGCTAGTTCTGACCTCTCATGTGTCTCCATCGACTTCAGGTGCTCTGGGATTTTCTGGTCCTACAGTGGTTGACATCAGCTCATGCCCCATCACGTTTTATGGACAGAAGTACAAACAACTCTATGTGAGTAGGATGAAGCCTTGAGAATGTCTTCCTTTGTTTTCATCTTGTTCAAAAAACATTGTGGTGTTCCCTCTCTGTTGTTTCATGAATGTACAGTACACTATATACTTAATGGTCCAGTAAACTGTATAATTTGGGAGGATTATACAATTTTTGAAACCTAAAAAGCACAAATCTTGGTGCCACCAATGATGAATAAAATACATACACATCAAAAAGTAACATATGATCCTTTATTATTAAATGATTCATACATAAAAAAGCAATAAATCCTCTTCAATAATGACATATTGGTCTCTGAC